TAAAAAAGCCAGCAATAATATTAATAGATAAAACCATAACAAACTGAAGAAATACTGACTTCAAAAGCAGATAAGTTGGTAATGCTGACACACACACACACACACACACACACACACACACACACACACACACACACACACACACACACACACACACACACACATACACGTACACGTACACACACACACACTCACGCCTGGTTTGGCCAATCTCATCAGAAAGCTTAAATTCGGGATGCGAACCAGTACAGCTTCGCGATCCTCAGCCCAATCACGTGCTTAGATGAAACGACAGAGTTCTAACGACATACTAACTTACATATGCCCTGAAATATGCTCTAAAATACATCGAAAAGTTAACATCAATCATATTAACATAAATTTACACATTCTAACATAAAATATTTTAATGTGTGTATGAATTTTTAAAGGTTAAATATTATTACTGTGGACTATGATATTATAATACTATTCATACATACGTATACACCTATAGCTGGCTATATGTGTATACATATGTATACACCTATAGCCAGTTATACAAACATACATTCCTATATGCAAGCATTATAGAACCCTCTACCAGTCAGCCTGTTGCTACCTGCAATCTAGATGTGTTGCAAGCAAAGTGCCAATTCAACCATTAACCAACTTTGTTTGAAAGCCAAATAGATAACGTAGGTAGTTAGCAATTTCGCCAGCCAACTGCTTAACCATCCAACAATCAAGATAACGAAATCTTTAACTAGTGTCCATGCCTACAGCCTACCTGAAAGTCAGATAGCCAGTCTGCCTACTTGCAGGTTAGGAAGCCAGCTAGCTAGCCAGCCAGTAAGCCAGCTAGCCAGCTAGCCAGCCAGCCAGCCAGCCAGTAAGCCATCAACCCAGCCAACAAAATATGACTTCCATACGCTATTGTGTGACTTAATCTTGGGATACAGCCAAGTATGAGACAAAGAAGTAACAGGAGCAGAATATAAACTCACTCAGAATATGAAAATGAAATGATGTCATTGAGAAGCAAGTGAAGTCATGAGGGAGATCAGTGACATCATAAATTCAATCCAATAACCCAGAGTGAAAGAATGAATTTTTTTTAAGATAAAATTGAAAATAGGAAAGATATGATGAAAATATATTATGATGTTTAACTTGAGAGAGAAAGAATGAGGGTTGATATATAAATAGTTCCTAAAGATGAAGTCCAGGAATAACTATATAGAAATATATGAAGCGAAGGAGGGAATTATTAGGGGAAAGCACGAAGCTATTACGACTATATAGCATTTGGAAGGAGTCAGGATAAGGATTTGGGATTGGACTGAGGAGGAGGGGGAAAGGAATGGTGCCCAACCACTTGTGAAAGATTGGGGATTGAATATCACCAAGGGGATTGATTAAGTCACCGACAGGAATATCACCTACAGAGCTAACACCAGAGAGGTCGACTGTTTCCCCACAGACACTCTAAAAGGCGCGGATGAGGGTGTTCCAAGCCTGTGACGACACTCCAAGTCAGGCTAGTCATTCAGACAGTTTAAGATGACATGCACAGACATTCCCTGATGTCTGATGCTATTGAGAACCTCTCCCCCCCTCCCCCTTCGAGACATCTAATAATAGCCTCGTTGTGTTAAGAATCGAAGCCTCTTTGTGAGGTTAATCTCGTTACATCAGGAGCGAAGCCTCTTTTATGAGTGAATCTCGTTATAACTGGTCGTTTGATATCGATTCGTAAACTGAGCTTTATATAAAAATAATCTTTCCTTGGATTAAAGGCTTTTCAGGTCATTCCCTTGCAAGGATTGCCTGAATGCTTCTGCCAGCGGCACCCTCTCTAATCCTAATTTTTTTTAATATTCTGGAGAATCAGTGAAAAATAAGAGTGACCTGACTTGGTCAGAAATAGTGCATACCAGGGGCCAGATTCATGAAGCAGTTACGCAAGCACTTACGAACGTGTACATCTTTCCTCAATCTTTGACGGCTTTGGTTACATTTATTAAACAGTTTATAGGCATGAAAATTTGCCAATCAACTGTTGTTATTGTTATAAACAGCCTCCTGGTGCTTCGGAGCTCATTAACTGTTTAATAATTGTAAACAAAGCCGCCAAAGATTGAGAAAAGATTGACAAGTTCGTAAGTGCTTGCGTAACTGCTTTGTGAGTCTGGTCCCAGGTGTGTAGGTGGCCAGGTGTGTAGGTGGCCAGGTGTATAGGTAGATCATATGTATAAGTGCCCCGGTGAACAAGTAACCAGGTGTTTACTTTTGCAACTCCTTTTACCAAGTTTCGAGATAAATGTCATATTCTATTTCACGTTCTCCTTGAAGAATACAACTATATATTACCCTCGAAGTCAGTGTTGAATGCAAGAAATTGCAACATTCAACTCACTTCACTCTACCAGAATACTGACATCTCGTTCTGTTTCAGTTTCAACTCTTTTGACCATGTCGTAGCTCAGTCGATTAAGACAGCGTCTGGGATGCTCTCGGACGCAGGTTCGAATCCTCGTCACGGCCCTTGTGGATTTGTTCATCTCGTTCTGACCTCGAGAGTTACTTGTGAGCGCAAGTCGGTGAAACCATCAAAGGTACTCATTTTTGAAGGAGGAGGATTGATGATTCAGACATTCCCTGTGGATCCACGGTTCCCGGAATGCGTGCCAACATTTTTAAGGCGGTTCGGTAGAGTTGCCCTGGAAAATTGGCCCTTTGAAGTTCAGTTAGGGATGATGTTACTCCCTCTCCATCATCCCATCCCAAATCCTTATCCTGATGCAGGCGATGAGTCACAATAACGTGGCTGAAGAATGTTGACCAGACCACACACTAGAAGGTGAAGGGACGACGACGTTTCGGTCCGTCCTGGACCGTTCTCAAGTCGATTGGTCCATTCTCACAATCGACTTGAGAATGGTCCAGGACAGACCGAAACGTCGTCGTCCCTTCACCTTCTAGTGTGTGGTCTGGTCAACCTTATCCTGATCCCTTCCAAGTGATATATTGTCGTATTGGGTTACTTCTTCCTCTTGATAATTCCCTCAACTCGAGTCTGAAGATGTCAAAAAATCCCAATAAATTTTTTTAAGCTGGAGAAGCATTTTCCTGAACCCTGTGAGTTATATTTTTCAAACGAGTCTCCTCCGCCTGTGATTTAATGTTGACATTGCTTAATCCATATGTTACCTTCCTGATTGGCAATGTTATGTTAACACCAGAAACAGCCCAGGGGAGGAAGTTTCGGGAGATATGGATTGACTGGGAACCACCAGGATACCAAGTTAAAAATGAAATACAAGGAAATAACGTTCATGCTGTGAATTTTGTTTGTAATAATAATGCATGGTACCAATAAAGGTAATTATGATTTAATTACCTTTATTGGTAATATTATTTATTACTCGGGAATGCTGAGGTGGTTACAGTCTGTTTACGTTTAGGGGTGATCCTGGGCGTCATGGGTTCGAATCCTGGTTGGGTTATTTAGAGTTTTTATTGATCTATTGCTTGCGAGTTCATGAAGCCTCATGTGTGTATGTGTGGGTGTACACACACACACACACACACACACACCAACGCCAACGACCATGGTATGCCAACGTGGTATGCCAACGGCCATACCACGTTGAGAACACCGCTTCTCGTCCGATCAGCGAAGTTAAGCAACGTTGGGTTTGGTTAGTACTTGGATGGGTGACCGCCTGGGAACACCAAATGCTGTTGGCATTTAAATTCATTAGGAAGTGATGTGGTGGAGGCTGACTCCATACACAGTTTCAAGTGTAGATATGACAGAGCCCGATAGGCTCAGAAATCTGTACACCTGTTGATTGACGGTTGAGAGGCGGGACCAAAGAGCCAGAGCTCAACCCCCGCAAACACAACTAGGTGAGTACAACTAGGTGAGTACACACACACACACACACACACACACACACACACACTTGGGGAACAGGTTGTGGAAGCAAACTCTAATCATACTTTTAAAACTAGGTATGATAGGGAAATGGGACAGGAGTCATTGCTGTAAACAACCGATGGCTGGAAAAGCGGGATCCAAGAGTCAATGCTCGATCCAGCAAGCACAAATAGATGAGTACACACACACCCACCCACTCCTATCCATCATTCATATTTTTAGACTCATCAAAGTGCGTCTCCACGTCGCAAGTCAAACATTCATCACCGCCTCATCAGGTCCAATTGTCTCCTCACTCTCACCAATTTTCACAGTTTCTGTATAAGGAAGAAATATATACACATCTCTCAGGAGCACAATTAACACACACAAACGCACCTGACAAGAATATTGGAAATTCAATCACCATTTCGGCACACCGGTAATTAATAAAATTAATAAACAAAAGTTAAAAATAAAAAACAATAAAATACGCAAGGTGGGAGTACACTACTCTTCACAAAGCAATAAAAACAAAATAAATAAACTTCACATATCTCCAAAAGATTTATTAGACGTCTCCATTCTCCATGCACAAAAAAAAGGCCTTAGACTCGAAGAAAAAAGTCAAAATACTAGAATTAAAAAAGCTAAAATTTTTAAAGTTTTGTCTATCAGTGTTTGAAGATAATCTCCCATCCCACTGTCTATTATCTTCTATTTCCTCTAGCTATGTGCTCTGGGATTTACAGTGAGGATATAGACAAAGGTTAGGATTTATCAAGGATCCATGAGGTTTAGTTGCGAAACCTGTACATCTTTTCTCAATCATGGCGGCTGGGTTTATTTCCAAGCGAGATAATGCGAGGCCGCTGGGAGTGTTTCAAGTGTAGGTCAGACAAAGATTTAGATTTTAATGGGTATAAATAGGAGCTACTTAATTCACATTGATCTATTAATAGACCTTTGGCACAGTTGCATTCTAATGCCTGATGATCTTAGACGAATGGAATAAATTATCGGGTACTATGCCTGTAGTCACCTAATTCATGTATATAAATGTACATATATTATATGTAATCCTTATATGTAACAGGAATATTTTATCTCGCATGTAAACTGAGAGATCTTGACGACCTCGAAACGGCACTCGAGGTCGTCACTCGAGACGGCACTCGAGGTCGTCACTCGAGACGGCACTCGAGGTCGTCACTCGAGACGGCACTCGAGGTCGTCACTCGAGACGGCACTCGAGGTCGTCACTCGAGACGGCACTCGAGGTCGTCACTCGAGACGGCACTCGAGGTCGTCACTCGAGACGGCACTCGAGGTCGTCACTCGAGACGGCACTCGAGGTCGTCACTCGAGACGGCACTCGAGGTCGTCACTCGAGGTCGTCACTCGAGACGGCACTCGAGGTCGTCCTCGAGACGGCACTCGAGGTCGTCCTCGAAACGGCACTCGAGGTCGTCCTCGAAACAGCACTCGAGGTCCTCCTCGAAACAGCACTCGAGGTCGTCCTCGAAACAGCACTCGAGGTCGTCCTCGAAACAGCATTCGAGGTCGTCCTCGAAACAGTACTCGAGGTCGTCCTCGAAATCCTCCTCGAGATCGTCCTCGAAATCCTCCTCGAGGTCGTCCTCGAAATCCTCCTCGAGGCCGTCCTTAAGGACATTACTCTCGCAAGAGTTCTTTCCATCCTCCTCAACCTTAAATGAATAATTCAGCCACCGGATCACTTCAAGTCCTCGACTTTCTACCCATCTTAATTACTTTTAAAACCCTCGTTTCTTAAGCATGTTGAACTCGTCATTTTCTACTTGGACGCATCGTATTGTGTCTAGTGTTTCCTGTTTTATTTATCTTAAACTTTTATGCTTTTCCGGATACTTTTGTTTCAAAAGCCAACAATGATCTACACTCTAAAGTTCTCATTTTTTAAATTGTTTTCTAATTTATGAGTTCACATTAAAACCAGTGAAAAGTGGTAACTCATATTCACACGTGTCAATAAGGATAACAGGATAGCACTTCTGTCAATAAGGATAACACTGCCTCTACACCTGTCAACAAAGGTGACAAGTGTGGAGGCGAGTGACCTTGTAAACACACACACCTGTCAACAAAGATAACACCCCTCCACACCTGTCAACAAAGATAACACATCACTACACACCTGTCACAGTAAGGACATCACACCAGGAAAGAGAGATAACCCAAATATCACACCTATCAAAGATAACACAGCGTTAATCACCTTCGCTTTCTTAATATTCTCGATCACAGGAGGTCAAGTTATCCACTTCACTCGAGCCATAGTTCTTGGACTCTGGTTAATGACTGAATTGTCTTGAAGACAAAGGACTTCACCTCTCATCTTCTACCACACAATAAACTCCTTCAGTAGCACCATTTATCGCATTCAGATCTGACTCGATTTTATTTATTTATATACAAAAAGTTACATTGGGTTTATGAGAGTACATAGCATGATGTGATTACGTTCTTGTAAAGCCACTAGTACGCATAGCGTTTCGGCCAGAAACGATTGTGCTATGATGGTAAGAGCTACATACCATGATAGATCATGCTTCGTAGATACAAAATTTTCTGTACGAAAATCTGATTATATTTCTCTACCCAGTTTGTGTAATACAATTAGAGGATATGCAAATTATGTTTTTTTTTTTTTTTTTTTTTTTATTATTTTCTACCACAGACGTGGCCACACATTTACAATGCTAACCAGCATATATACATTTTCTTCTGTCCTCCATGGACAGGGTTAGAGAAGTGTTAAACATATAGTTCAAGGGTTTATTGAACACTCAACCACAGAAGGTGATTCGGTGCTTTTAAAATGCTATTATGTTACATTGTCTAGGCAGTGTAATATAATTTATATATGTAAATTGCATTGACCGCTCAGAGGATTCGAACCTAGGCATATACACATACATAGGGGTCTGGTAGCTGAGTGGACTGAGCGCAGGTTTCGTAATTCTGTGGCCCGGGTTCGATTCCCGGACCAGGCAGAAACAAATGGGTAAAGTTTCTTTCACCCCTGATGCCCCTGTTACCTAGCAGTAAAATAGGTACCTGGGAGTTAGTCAGCTGTCACGAAGCTGCTTCCTGGGTCTACTGACCTATTTGTACTCACCTATTTGTGCTTGCGGGGGTTGAGCTCTGGCTCTTTGGTCCCGCCTCTCAACTGTCAATCAACTGGTGTACAGTGTGTGTGTGTGTGTGTGTGTGTGTGTGTGTGTGTGTGTGTGTGTGTGTGTGTGTGTGTGTGTATGTGTGTGTGTGTGAGGAAAATAAATAGTTACAGTTGATTGATTGACAGTTGAGAGGCAGGCCGAAAGAGCAGAGCTCAACCCCCGCAAGAACAACTAGGTGAGTACACACACAAACACACACACACACACACACACACACACACACACACCACACACACACACACACACACACAGAGGTAACTAAATCCATTAATACCGCAGGAAACAGGTGCCGGGCCGTGGTTAGGGGACAGCTGCACAACCGCTCTCGTTATTTAACATGCAAAGACTGGTAATGAAATTTTAACTCCTCTGTCACTGGGAGAGGCGAAGTAATTCTCATATTATTTCGGTATTTCGCGCAAATTCTCAACGGTTGATGGAGTAGATAGATAAGAATGGACGATAAGAGACGAGGAGTAGATGGTGATAAGAACAAGGGAATGAAGATAGAATGGAAGGGAATTATAAGAAAGCACCAAGCCATTACGACTATATAGCACTGGGAAGGGGTCAGGATATAAGGATTTGGGATGGGACGGGGGAAAGGAATGGTGCCCCAACCACTTGTGGACGGTCGGGGATTGAACGCTGACCTGCATGAAGTGAGAGAATCGTTCTACCGTCCAGCCCAAGACGTTGGGGTCGAAATAGACGAAGAAGATAAAGAAAACAAATGATTTAATTGCTCACCTATCCTAACCCAGTGAATAGTTGGGTATAAAGCGACCGCCATGCTGCTTGCAGGGCTGGAGTTCGATTCCCGATGGTTCAAGTGTGCTGAGAGGATAGTCATTCTAGCCAGACGTAGCTTCGCCAGGGTGGACGAACCTGAGTGCGGATTCTAACTGGAATGCCAGTGCTATTGGACGGGATTTGGATTCATTGTTCGCCGGTCGATAATCTGTCAAATTCTATCTCGGTGTCATTGTATTCATCTAGTTGTATTCATCTAGTTGTATTCACCTAGTTGTGCTTGCGGGGGTTGAGTTCTGGCTCTTTCAGTCCGCTTCTCAAATGTCAATCAATCAACTGATTATTATTTTTTTATCACACACACACCCAGGAAGCAGTTCGTAACAGCTGTCTAACTCCCAGGTACCTATTTACTGCTAGGTAACAGGGGGATCAGAGTGAAAGAAACTCTGCCCATTTGTTTCCGCCATCGCCGGGGATCGATCCCCCAGGATTACGAGTCCCGAGCGCTGTCTACTCAGCCACAGGGGCCCCTTGTGAGTGGGAGATGAGGATCTCGTGGAAATCATCTTAAAAGCAGCATCTTCATATATGATTTCCTTCCCTGATGTGACCCAATTTTTCCGTTTCTTTATCTGCTAGATACTGCAAGATACCGATTGATAGATATTGCAACAGGAGCGTAAGCTGTCAAGTTGCAGAGATATTGCACGTTTTGACTTGTTAAAAAAGTCTCAATATAGCAGAGAGACTCAGATTGCTGCGTTTCGTACACGTATACCGGTTCTGAAACGATTTGTGTATTCAGAGCAGTTTCCGATGAGGCCTGACGGCTAAGTGGACAGCGTTCGGGATTCGTAGTACTGAGGTTCCGGGTTCGATCCCCGGTGGAGGCGGAAACAAATGGGCAGAGTTTCTTTCACCCAGATGCGACTGTTCATCTAGCAGTGAATAGGTACCTGGGAGTTAGACAGCAGCTACGGGCTGCTTCCTGGAGATGTGTAACAACCTTGAGGTGCTTCCGGGGCTTAGCGTCCCTGCGGCCCGGTCGTCGATCAGGCCTCCTGGTTGCTGGACTGATCAACCAGGCTGTTGGACGCGGCTGCTCGCACCCCGACGTATGAGTCACAGCCTGGTTGATCAGGTATAAGGAGGCCTGGTCGAGGACCGGGCCGCGGGGACGCTAAGCCCCGAAATCATCTCAAGATAACCACCCAACAATGCGAGGTGCGACTGCAATAACAACAGTTCACGCAAGTAGTTTCTTGGGAGGCAGATATCATTTTGATCCATAGAGAATCCCTCCTCAGAGCTCTCTCTCCCCCCCCACCCCCCTCCCCCCCCTTGGATCGTTCACCAACTGCAATTTTCCCTTATGAATTCGGTCATTTATGCACTTTTCCAAATGGCATCATTCAGGCCGTAAATATTCGGTGCGTTGCAATATGCAATTCGTTCAGAAGCTCCCAATAATACTTCCCCCTTATAGCTCGGCCGTTCCATTGCTTTTCAACGTTTTTGCAACACCGAGACAATTAATATCGTTATTGACGCGACAAGACAGAGACGAGAGAGAAGCGATTGTAATTTTTTTCCTCCGATCGATTCAATTTTCCTTCGGGAATCCTCTTCCTATTGATATATTTCCAATTCATTCCTAAATCACAACGGAATCCCTCCAGACCGTCCTCCTCCTCTGCGGCAGAATGCCTATGATATTTTCGCACGCTCTCTGAATCACTGAATACACGCACGCGGATACAAAGCGATATATATTTATGCCCATACACACGCACATGGATTGTGTTGAAACGCAAGCAAAGAGTGGATATGGACGGACGGACGGCCACACACGCACACACACACACACACACACACACACACACACACACACACACACACACACACACACACACACACACACACACACGCACACACACACGGTGGGACACGAACAAGGGGACACAGATGGAAACTTAGTACCCAGATGAGCCACAGAGACGTTAGAAAATTTTTTTTTCAGTGTCATAGTTAATAAATGGAATGCATTAGGCAGTAATGTGGTGGAGGCTGACTCCATACACAGTTTCAAGTGTAGATATGATAGAGCCCAGTAGGCTCAGGAACCTGTACACCAGTTGATTGACAGTTGAGAGGCGGGACCAAAGAGCCAAAGCTCAACCCCGCAAGCACAATTAGGTGAGTACACACACACTTTAAAACTAAGTATGATACAAAAATATGACAGGAGTTATTACTTCAAACAACCGAAGACTAGAAAGGCGGGATCCAAGAACCACCACTCGATCCTGCAGGCACAAATAGGTGAGCACACACATACAAGCATATGTTCACACGAACGCAAAAAAAAAAGACAGAGATACATAGACACACGAACGCACAACCACACACAAGAACACATGTATCCGGACACGTGGCACACACCCAAACACTACCACCACCCAAGAGTCGTGTATAAACTTCATTGTGAAAGCGAGACGAGAAAGTCTTCCCCAACTTTATTAATTGAGACGCGAATTTATGAAGCTTTTATGATCTATAAACTCATGAGAAGGGTCACCCTTGGCCTGAGACGCCTTTCTTGGCTAATTTAATTTGAGAAGATGCTGAAAACGAAGAGGATGGAGAGGTGAGGCTAATGATTAGGTGGAGTGTTGAGAGACAGAGAGACAGAGAGAGAGAGAGAGAGAGAGAGAGAGAGACAGAGACAGAGAGAGAGAGAGAGAG